CTGAAATAATATACAGCCAACATTTTCAAATTCTTATTTCAATTTGCTAACTTTGATTTTCAATGAATTTAGTTTCCATGTATAATAGTATAGTACCAGTATAATCATAATCATCATTAAGTAAATATTTGAGTGGCTGCTACAGGGAGGCACTTGTTCTAGGTGTTTGGGATACATCTAAAGACAAAAAGCTCTCTGTACTCCTGGAGTTTATATTCTAACAAAAGTGAGTCAGAAATAAACAATAAGCACAGTAAGGAAATTACACAGTAAGTTACAATATGGCTGAGGGAAGGAATAAGAGAAAAAGTAGGGCAGGATAAGGAGACTCAAGAATGCTTGTTATCAGTAACCCAAATGACAACTCCCAGGGAAAGAGTTAGCTTTTTGTTTCACATGGTGGTTAAAAATACAAGTATAGAATAGGATTGCCTGGTTTCACATCCTAGCCTTGAATGAATGAATTACTACTTCTGTGCTTGTTTCCTAACCCATAAAGTGAGAGTAATAACAGTATCCAAAACTGTATAGATCTGTTGTGAGAATTAAATAACATAATGTCTGCAAAGTACTTAAAACTGTACCTTCAACAGATGTACCTAATAAATAGTCACTAAACTACCTATCACAACATACCACAATCTCCCCACAAATGATTAAGTAATTGGAACAAAACTACTTGCGTTTCTGCTTGTATTGATACAAAGACCTCGGCCAGGCTCGGTGGCTCAGCCTGTAATCCCAGCACTTTGGGAGGCTGAGGCAAGAGGATTGCCTGAGCCCACATGTTCGAGACCAGACCGGGCAACTCGGCGAGACCTCGTCTCTACAATAAAATAAAATAAAATAAAATAAAATTAGCCAGGCGTGGTAGTGTACGCCTGGAGTTCCAGCTACTTGGAAGCTGAGGCAGAAGGATCGCCGAAGCCCAGCAGGTTGATGCTGGGGTGACCGTGAGCACGCCACTGCGCTCCAGCCTGGGCAACAGAGTGGGACTCCAACTCAAACAAAACAAAACAAAGACCCAGAGAAACATTTGCTGAAATTAAACTAAAGTATTACTCACAAAATAGAATAATTATTATTACAGTAAAATATAACTAGATATGACTGATAAAATATGGCTAATTTAAAAGAACTAAAAATATTAGAGACTAGGCACGGTAGCCCACATCTATAATCCCAGCACTTTGGGAAGCTGAAGTGAGAGAATTGCCTGAGCTCACAGGTTCGAGACCAGTTTGGACAACTTGGCGAGACTCCATCTCTACAATAAATAAGTTTAAAACACTAACCAGGTGTGGTGGTGTATGCCTGTAGTTCCTAGCTACTTGGAAGGCTGAGGTGGAAGGATCACCTGAGCCTAGCAGGTCGAGGCTGCAGTGGTTGTGAGCGTGTTACTGCACTCCAGCCTGAGCAAGAGTGAGGCTCTAACTCAAAAAATTAAAAAAAAGTTAGAAAGCAGGAAAGCTATCTAACAGTCCTTCAGAACTTTTTTCAGATGACAGACCTCACTGAAAATACTGTGACGTTTGTAGGTCCTCTTCCCAGAAAAATTCCATCACAAAGGTCCACACAAAATTTTACATGTTTAAAACTGATAGGACGGTAAAATCTTTTCATCATGGCACTTTTGGGAACTTTGCACATTTCTAAAAATTATTTTTGTTTTCCTTTTCAGGTCTTCACCGAGAGCATTCATTTGTTTGGGAAATACTACTCTCAAGTCGGTCTTATTTCTGAAGTTAAACAAGCATAATAAACTGAAAAAACAACTCTTTTATTACTAAGGTCAAATTATACTTCCAAATAACAGCCCAAATGTTGTTCAAGAGCTACAAATCCTGGGCCGGGCTCAGTGGCTCAGCCTTGTAATCCCAGCGCTTCAGGAGGCCGAGGTGAGTGGACTGCCTGAGCCCACGGGTTCAAGACCCACCTGGGCAACTTGGTGAGATCTCATCTCTACAATAAATCAAAAATTAGCTGAGAGTGGTAGCACCTGTAGTTCCAGCTGCTTGGAAGGCTGGGGCGGAAGGATCGCCGGAGCCTAGCAGGTCAAGGCTGTAGTGGCTGGGAGCAGCCACTGCACTCCAGTCTGGGCGACCAAGTGAGACTCCAACTCAAAAAAGAAATAAAAAAATAAAAATAAAAAAATTAGCCGGGTGCAGTAGCGCGCACCTGTGGTTCCAGTTACTTGGAAGGCTGAGGTGGAATGATCGCCGGACCCCAGCAGGTAGAGGCTGCAGTGGTCAGAGGTGGCCATTGCACTCCAGTGTGGGTGACAGAGTGAGACTCCAACTCAAAAAAAAAAAGCCATATTACAAAGCTACAGTAATAGCTATAAATGAAAAAATAAATGGCAATTGCATGGCACATAGTAAATGCTCAGTTAATGTAAACTTAGGCATTACTGCAGAGCACAGGGTGTGGTATGACTGAAGTCACCTCATGAGTTTTCAGAATTGCTTTCGGTTTTATCCTAAGATTGAGGAAACTGAAAGTTAGGAAGATTGATTAACTTGCTTAAAGTGACAGAGCTTGAAGTGGCAAGTTGTGGATTAAAACACAGCCCAAGCTCTTTGCTGCTATGCAGTCCTGCATCAGGCTAGGTGACAAAGTGTGATTTCCCTTGACCTGACCACCATAGATGCACTTTCAAGCTGCACACTTTTGGTCATTACCTAACCTCCCAGAATCTCAGTTTTCTCATCTGTAAGATGGAGACGCTTTACCTTGCAGTGTGGTTGTAAATGTCTGGGTATGAACAGTGTGTCACGTGGTGCCAAGCACACCTGGGCACCGAGTAACCAGTTGTCGTTACTCAATGTGCCACCATCTGATGTCTGCAACTCTCCAGCTGGGTCTGGCAGCTGCCTCACATTTCTTCCTACCCAGGAAGAGGATCTGCATCTCCAAAGCCTGGAATTACAGCTCCACTGGCTGGCAAAGGCACCATTAGAAGGCCTGGACCAAGAGGATACAAATAGCAGCCCTGCCCAAGCTAAGGAGGGCTCGGATTTCCTTGTCTGAATGCATAATGATCGGAAGGTTGTGTTACAGAAGTAGCTGTTTTTGTTTGTCATTCAGGCCCACTAATCTAAACATCTCTCACTCCTCAGGAATTATTTTAGGACCAGGAAGCAGCACGCTGTTTATTGAAAGAGTCACAGAAGAGGATGAAGGCGTCTATCACTGCAAAGCCACCAACCAGAAGGGCTCGGTGGAAAGCTCAGCATACCTCACCGTTCAAGGTAAACAGCTGCTTAAGAAAGCAACCAGAAGCTGCTCAGACATCTATTTCCCTGTTTGTTTAACTTTCCACCTCCCAGTCTCCTGCTGCCTGCTCCAGTCTGTTCCTTTCCCTGACCTCCTTCTCCCCTCTCCGGGAAGGGACTGTCTGGTTCTGTCTGGCAAGACAGAAGGTGAAGACACCAGCTGGCCCTCCTTGAGAGCCCACAGTCGGAACAGTCTCCGCAGGAGAAGGCAGTCCCGGAAGAAACTGGCAGGGGGTCAGACTCTGCCACAGACAGTAGTAGACTCTCTGAGTAGGTGGCCTGCGGGGTCCACCACTTATTTTGGGAGAAACAAGCCAAAAAGGAAGACGGGGAAGGTGGCGGGATGGGATGGAGACCTATACTCTTGCAACTGTCCATTTTTTTTCCTTCTCGCATTCCCCAGAGTTAGACATATGCCGCTATTCCAGATGTTTTCATAAGCTGGTTTTAAAATGAAGTAGGCTGTAAAATATCATCAGAGAAAAGCAATACATAACAAACAGGCCACATTTAGGAGAACTACCCCAAGGGCTTCCTCTTCATAGGCCTCAGAGAGCCTGCTGAGCCACAAAATACAGAGGCCTAATCCTACCCTGGCCGTGGCCATGTGGCTTGCATTTAGAATATAGTCTAAACCTCAATTTCAGTTCTCCAGTGCTGAGAATCATCCAAAGCATAAAACTGACAGCATAGTAACATACCAGGTTGGCACCTCTTAGATGGAAACATCCATGGCATATTGAGGCTGTACATGAAAGATGGGACTGGTTCAGTAGCCTGTCTCCAGATGCTAATTAGTCAATTTCAGAATGCGCAACTGTCTCCAGGGGAGGAGCCAGGAAGAGGAATGGACTTCAGTTCTTCTGTCTTGGAAACATGAAATTGCTTAAAGATTGTTAACTCGCAGAATTCAAACTCCTTTAAAACAGAACATCATCTCCATTTGTTTATAAGATTGTGATTTTAAAGTCTCCTGAAAATATTCTACCACAAATTGATTTTCAAAAAAAGTGAGAGAGCAGCATTCCCCAAATGCCTTTAGTAATGGTCTTGTTTGTCTTTCAAATAATCCTTGTTTTAAAACATCCTTTCCACTCTTCTGCTCACAGGTGTAGGAAACAGTTTATTAACATCTCTCTTTAACACCTCCTTCCTCAAATAGCTGCTAATCTGTCTTTTAACAAGGGGTCCCATGTGGCCCTAAGGGATGGCTGCATCAGGCCAGGGAGAACAGAGAGCAAGGAGGCATCCCTAACCCTCAGAGTACATGGTACCCCCTTATCCTCCCAGCAACCCTGGAAGACACACAGAGCCCTTATAATCAGCCTCCAGAGAGGTCAAAAACGACGAGCCTGGCTGGGCTCGGTGGCTAAGCCTGAAATCCCGTGCTTTGGGAGGCCGAGGTGAGTGGATTGCCTGAGCCCACGGGTTCGAGACCCGCCTGAGCAACTTGGCGAGACCTCATCTCTACAATAAATAAAAAAATTAGCCGGGTATGGTAGCGTGCGCCTGTAGTTCCAGCTACTTGGAAGACTGAGGTGGAAGGATCGCTGGAGCCCAGCAGGTCGAGGCTGTGATGGCCGGGAGCGGCCACTGCACTCCAGTCTGGGCGACAGAGTGAGACTCCAACTCGGAAAAAAAGAAGAAGAAAAAAAAGACGAGCCTAAGCCATACAGTGAGACCAGGGCAGCCGTGAGAGGAACACTGAACTCTTCCCAGACTCACCTCCAGCTGCCGCACAGCTGCTTTCCCTTGCCCCGTGTCTGTCCACACCCTTCTCCACAAGGGCCATGGGGCAGCAATAGCCGGACAGCTGATGGTTGGGGAAAGTCCTGGTATGAAGCAGAGCCATCCTGCAAGTCTGCAGGTCTCCCCAAAGACTTGACTTCCTTTCTCTTCCCCTTTTCTTCCAGGCTGGTCTCAAAAGCCACTGGCTTTCTCGGAAGCCACTGTGCTTATTATAAAATTATGCTTTCTGATATCTGTGGGTTTCTTCTGCCCACCAGTCAAGACCACCACCCTTCCGTTTACCCTAAGTGTGTTCAAGGCCAGATCAGTGGCACTGTGGGGCCGTCCAGATTGGACTGAAGTCAGTGTTTGGCCATTGGTGAGCCATGTATGGCCTTTGTCCATAATGTCAATGCGGCCTGGAATGTCTTTTGTCCAAGCTCCCTTCCCTATTCCTTATCCTCTAAGGCCAGTTTAAATGCTTTCTACCCTGTGACAACCCCAGGATGAGCAGTGAGTCAGATACTTACTCTACTGTCTGCTCTCACTCTGTGCTTCTAGGATCATTAGTCAGTACAGACTTTATTCCGCCTTTTACTATTATTTTGGCATTGATATGCTTCTCTTCCCTACTGCACTGTAGACTTTTTGAGGCAGAAACTGTCTGACGTGTCTCTGTATCCTATACTCATGCCCAACATTCAGCAGGAAACATATTTATCTAGCACCTTTATGTGCAGGCACTGGGATGGACACCTGACATCTTCAGTCTATTAACGTTGTAAGAATCCAAAGACACCCACAGCAGTAACCCTCGGTCTGCAGATAAGAGGATAGAGGTTCACAGAGCCTAAATAATTGACCCAAAGTCACACAAGGAACACGTGTGAGGGTGTGTAAACCTCAGAAAATGCCTACCTTCCTCTGCTCTTCTCACCCCTCAGGCGCCTTAGGAAGCTGTCTGCAGGGGCTTAGGGCAAAATTGAGCACCTTCCCGGTCGTGCTGTTATTTTTATTTTCTCTCTACGGGCCTCTAGAGTTCCTCACTGATTCCTTTTCCCACTAAGTTACGCTTTTCTGAAAAGTCAGACGACATTAAGAATACCGCCTTTCTGGCTGGGCTTGGTGGCTCAGCCTGTCATCCTAGCACTTTGGGAGGCCAAGGCGAGTGGATTGCCTAAGCCCGTGGGTTCCAGACCCGCCCGGGCAACTTGGCGAGACCTCGTCTCTAAAATAAATAAAAAATGAGCCGGGTGTGGTAGCGCGCACCTGTGGTTCCAGCTACTTGGAAGGATCGCCCCAGCAGGTCGAGGCTGCGGTGGCCGGGGGCATGCCACTGCACTCCAGTCTGGGCGTGAGTGAGACTCCAACTCAAAAAAAAAATACTGCCTTACTAATCATTTCTGAAAGTGTCGACTGGCCTAGACCACGTCCTCTGGGAGGAGGAGGAGAGTTTCCCCCAAACAGCCCACCCTGGCTGGCACTGCAGATGTCCTGGACATAATCTCTCAGCCTCCCAACCACCCTGCGTCCCCTCTCACCTGCCTCCAGTCCCTGTCTACAGTGGCCATCCTATGACACGCTGCTTCCCGGTTTAAACTCCTGCCACCGTTCCCAAAGGCCCGTGACCCACCTCCAGGAGCACCAGGTCTTTGCAGGCCCCTCCTCCAACCTCCTGTCCTTCCCCACTGCCCCCAGGCAACCCCTGCATACACTCCACCTTCACACATCTCTTTTCCTCTCTTCTGAAAAACTCCCTCCCCAGCTCCTTCTCCCCTGAACAGTCCTGCTCATCCTTTAAAACACGCCTACATTCCTGTGTCCACTGTACACACAACCTCCTGTCTTCCACCATTTCTCCCTCTTGCTCCTGAGGTCCTTAGCTGGACCTTGAATACAACGCTTACCGTTGGTTATTCCTCATGTTTCTTTCATTCCCTTTTTTTTTTTTTTTTTGAGTTGGAGTCGCACTCTGTCGCCCAGACTAGAGTGCAGTTGCATGCTCCCGGCCACCACAGCCTTGACCTGCTGGGCTCTGGCGATCCTTCTGCTTCAGCCTTCCAAGTAGCTGGAACTGCAGGTGTGCGCTACCATGCCCGGCTAGTTTTTGCTTTTATTGTAGAGACGAGGTCTTGCCAAGTTGCCCGAACGGGTCTCGAACCCACGGGCTCAGGCAATCCACTCACCTCTGTCTCCCAAAGTGCTGGGATTACAGGCTGAGCCACCGAGCCCAGTCTAAAATAATTTTTAATATCAGAAAAAGAAATACAGCAATACATTATTTAATGCAATATAGAGAAGTCACATTCAATCCATTACCAAGCCAACAACCGACTTTTTTCCCAGGACTCTGCAGGACATGGAAGGGTAAGCCCTGGTCTCTAACCTCAGTGTGCTTTGAAAACCTAGTTGAAAAAAGATTAAGGTGTTCACAAGCCAGATAAACAAACATTCTGAATTCCTCCTGAGGGTGAAGTGGAAGTGCTAGTTTGTGTGAAAGAGACCACAAGGTGCTACTAACAAGGGCCAGAGGAGCTCTTAGAGGCAAAGAGAACATGGCGTGTGACTGGCTCTCAGAGGAGACCTGGATGCCGCAAGGCCAGGGGCACAAGGCAGGAAGGGAGGAGACACAGAGTCACAAAGCAACTCTGGCCCATGTGTGGGCATATGCCCTTGGCAACAGCAAAGTCTAAAGAATCCTAGACAGTTCCACTGGGTGCGGTGGCTCATGCCTGTCATCCCACCACTTTGGGAGGCAGAGGCGAGAGAACTGCCTGAGTCCAGGGCTCAAAATCAGCCTGGGCAACTTGGCGAGACCTCGTCTCTACAATCAATCAAAAAATTAGCTGGGCCTGGTGGTGCGTGCCTGTGATTCCACCTACATGGAAGGCTGAAGTGAAAGGATTGCCTGAGTTCAGCCGGTCGAGGCTGCGGTGGCCGTGAGCGTGCCACTGTACTCCAGCCTGGGTAACAGAGTGAGACTCAGACTCCAAAGAAAAAAAAATTCCAGACAGACTGTTCTTATTGGCTAGTGCAGTGCATTCTCTGAGGACTAAACTTTTGACTTGTGGCCTCTTCTCCTTCACGTGGCATTAATCTTTAGTATCACTGAGAGAAACAGTGCAGTGCGCAAGACAGCCAGACACTTCATTTATTCATATATGTATCACTCCTTCTTTTGCCCATTAATGCCCCAACTGTCATGTTTTTTGAGTTCTTGTGTCTGCTTTTTAAAGCTTTTTTTGCCTTTTTCCTTGCTCTCTTTCGTACATTTTTTTCCCTGCTCTCAGAGTTATGGCTGTATCCAACCTCTTTGCTTAAGAGTTATGATTAGTTGAGAAAACAGATTACATGATCTGCAGTCATCCAACCACACCTGAAATATTGTGCCCATTTATAAGAGGAAACAAACAAATGAGGCTGTGTATCCTGGATAGGGTAAGAGAGAATGGAAGCAGAAAATGAGAATATTTAGTCTAAAAAAGAGACAAATTTAGCCAGGCGTGGTAGTGCACGCCTGTAGTTCTGGCTGCTTAGAAGGCTGAGGCGGAAGGATCGCCAGAACCCAGCAGGTCGAGGCTGCGGTGGCCGGGAGCGGCTACTGCACTCCAGTCTGGGTGACAGAGTGAGACTCCAACTCAAAAAAAAAAAAAAAAAAATTAAAAAGAGACAACTGCTGCCATTTGACCGGGCTCGGTGGCTCAGCCTGTAATCTCAGCACTTTGGGAGGCTGAGGCGAGTGGATTGCCTGAGCCCGCGGGTTTAAGAACCACCTGGGCAAGTGGCGAGACCTCGTCTCTACAATAAATCAAAACTAGCCGGGCGTGGTAGCATGCTCCTGTAGTTCCGGCTACTTGGAAGGCTGAGGAGAAAGGATCTTGGGAGCCCAACAGGTCGAGGCTGCAGTGGCCGGGAGTTTGCCACTGCACTCCGTCTGGGCAACAGAGTGAGACTCCGACTCAAAAAAAAAAAGAGACAACATGGGAGTGACATGACTGTTTTCTTCAAATACTTAAGGAGCCTCCGGATAAAAGGGGCATTAAACTCATTCTTTGACACACCATAAAAGGTACCTGGAACCCAGAAAGGGAGATGGCAGTGGTGAAATTTCTAGGAGACAGGTTTCAGCCCATATAAGGACTGAATTTGAATACGAGGAATTTTTGCAAGTTGATATTATATGGACCTTTGGAAAACCTGCACATAAGAGTCAGATGAAGTATTCAGAACTGAAGTGCTCTGGGCTCAGAGAATTAAAATTTTTTTCTTGTGTGCTGAGCACAATGGTTGAATTTGGTACCTGTTCAGTAATTTTGTAATTAAAATTGGATTCTTGCTGCAGTCTCTAGGGCCACTGTTCTTATCACCCTGTGGCTAGGAAACATTCCCTAGATTGAGACTTGATTTCCTGTTAAATACATATGGGCCCTTCACACTGACCTATCTTGTCAAATTGAGTTTAGGAAATGAAACCAGGCAAATGAGTTGTGTCTGTGGCTATGTTTAACAGATTTAAAGAGGTTCATGAATTAGCCAGGAAGGAAATGTCTGCTCTTTTTATTTCCTTTGAAAAAGGATTCTTATACTCATAGATAAAACAATGTGTTATTTTTGTATATGAAAAGGATGAATGGACTGTGGAGTCAAAGTAGCTTCTTTAAATAATCACAGGTCTTGTTTGGTTTGGATCAAGCACCAGCACGACACACATGGAGCTCTCAAAGGGGAAGTTCCAATATCAAAACCAACAATAAGACTACCAGTAACCCAGATGATGTCTGAAATTAATACAGCACAAATATAACTCATGGAAATCAATAGGACTGTTACAGTGAAAGTGTGGCACATTTTCATCCAAGGACTTAAGAGAAGCTAACAGGGGAGGGGGGAACCCCCCAAAACTGAAATTATCTTTTGGAGGGTGGGCCCCTTGTAGAACAGGCTTCCCCCACTAGGTAAGTGTTCTAGGAACCCATCGGCATCAGTGGACCACCTAGCGTTGTTATGAGAGGCCGAGTTCAGCTTCAGTGAAATTTCCTTTGGAGATTCTTTTCACGCATTTGCCCATTTCATGGTGGGTGGTTTGGGGGCATACCTATCCACACTGCACTGAGTGTTCAGCAG